TTATCTTTTCTGTCATCAAAGAACATGTTCTGTATAATTTCTATTCTTTAATGGTTTGAAGGCTGCTGCTCTATGGAAGGTGCCATTTTGTGGTATTTTCTGCTCACTTGTGCAGACCACAGAACACTTGTCCCATAGGATATCGATTTTTGGTAGTATGAGTTTTATCACAAAACAGATGTGAATATTCTACACATTCTGATTTGATACATACCTGTTATCATTGAGAGATAATTAGTAAAATAAATAGAGTGTGCGTGTGTCCACTTTTCAGTTGTTTCATGTTTTAGCAGTCGGTCGTCTCTGTTAACAAAGCAGAAAGTTTTAGAACGCTTGCCTTTTGGATGAAATTTTTTTTAATGTGGTGTGCTTTATTTTTTTCATTGTCATTTCCTCTCATGACATCTTTTCCTTGGGTTGGCAGTTGACACTCGAGCTCCTGAATTGTCCAACAGTTCTCATCTTCTGCCTTTTTGCTTTTCTATTTTTGATCCAGCGTCTCTCACTGTGTAGTCTAAACTAATTGCAACCTCATTATGCCCCGTCTCAGATCACAGGTGTGCACCACCTTGCCTGGCTCCCATCAGTTGCTGTTTAACCAATCGGTTGCTTTATATTAGAGTGATATACAGAAAGAACTTACTAATTGATGTTTCCAGAGAGCTTATAATTACTCATTGTTTGTAATTTGCTCTTAAAAAAACTCTGTAATTTGAAACATCAATGAGCTTTGTAGCTTTGTTCCCCCCCACAGTGCTTTACAGTTGACTTGTGTTTCTAGAAACTCTTTAATTCATGTCTGTCTGAAAATATTAACTCGCCATTTCAGAAGGATGTTTTTGTAACTAAAGAATTGAGTTAATAAGCATTTTCTCGTCAGTGCTTTAAAACTGACTTGCATTGCTTCAGACTCTCTTTTCTTCTGTGTGGTCCATGACCTTTCTCAAGAGGCTGACTGAACCACCTTTCTCTTTGTTAGTTATATGCATCTGTTTGATTTGTAGTCTTCACCCTATTTGGGGCTAGCTCACTTACTTTATCCTTTCCTCACTTGAGAAAATGCTATACACATTATTTTTCAAGGTATTAAGAATGTTCTCTATTTTCTTCCTTCGTTCTCAGTTTCAGTATTGTTCTTCAAATCATCAAGGATGCACTAATTTTTTCTTCCACTGCCTCAGTGTTGTAGACTGGATCCTTGTGCTTTCCGACCATAAATAATTTCCTCTGCCCCATTGAACCCAATTCCACAGGAAAGCATGGCTTTACATTTCTCATCTTAGATAGCATAGTTTTCATCCTTCAAAGATGAATTTTCTCTATTTTGAGTTTTTCATTTTTCTTAGCTTTATTTCTTCTTTAATACTTCAGGAAATCACAAAGTCCTTAAATTCTTGCCCCACAATGCTAAGTTCAGCTTCCCTTGTGGCTCAGCTTCTATATAATAAATTTTTCTCTCTCTGGGGCACATGTCTCTTCCTCTTGTCATACATAGTCGTTTTTTTTATTGGAAACAGAATAACTTACACATTGTGTTGCTAGATCCAGTTTGTACTCATGTTTTAAAGACTGATGCATCTTTGTCTTGGCAGAGAATTAAGTTGCAGCGAGTAAGGATAATCCTTTTGAAATTGGTTTATAAATTTTATTAATGTGGATCTGAATTAGCTTTTTGCCGTGAGCAAGCTTTAATACAGGGCTTGTGTAGCGTCTATGCTAGATGCTTCTCTGTATTCTCAGCACAGCCCTCAGGGTGATCAGCAAACATATCTCTGTCTGGCCTATTGGGACTCAAGCATACCTCAGGCTAATGTGAGTTTTTATAATATCAGGCATTCCTTTGCTCCTATGTCTTCATTCTATGCATGCATATCTTAGTAGTCAGCAACATTAGTCAGCAATGTATTTTCAAGAATCTGATGTATGTTCTTGGAGGTCCTGTCCTGCATGGAACTATTTCATATTTTTTCTATGTTCTCCTTATATTGTCAAGTTATAGAGACTCTTGTGTTTTGGTTTCTTCTGTCTATTGCTTTCAGGAAATGTGCTGGGCAGGGTTCTGAGAGAATCACATTTCCCTCTCTTTAACAAGCCACTGATTGGGACTGTTATTCAAAGTCTATATATACTCTTTCTTTTCAAACATGTTTGTCTAATTTCCTTGAATTAAAAGGAAAAGTTGCTCTTCAATGCCCCCAGTCCAGAAGTAGTCCTCAAAGAAGGAATTGCTTCTTGAATTTTTGTGTCCAAAGGCAATGTTTCTCTTCTTGAGAAGTTAAATTTCACCAAATTCTGTTCTATATAATAAGGTAGAACTTTTCTTCCCAAAGCACTGTCAGGGATTATCAATATTTCTTAAATCTGTAGGCTTTAGCTTCACTGCGTAGGACTGCTTTCTTTCCTTTAATTTTTTTCACATGACAGCTGTTTAAAATTTGAAGAAAGTATATTTTCTTCACCAGAAAAATATTTTTAAACCCTTCATAATCTTGAGCACTTTCAGATATTATTAGATTAGCACTGTTTTTACTACAGTATGTAGTTCAAGGGAAAGAGCAGTATTCTGCCTGAATCATGTACAAATAACTTACTTTGTAGTACCAAGCCACCATTATTCCATACTTATTGCACTCTCATTAATAAGCAATCACAGAGCATATGGAGCTTAAACCCACACATATTATTTTTCTTATTTTTATTTTTAAAACAATCTTATTCAACATACCAATCCCAGTTCCCTCTCTCTCCCATCCTCCCACTCCTACCTCTTCTCCTCCCCAAACCCCCATTCACTCCACAGAGAAGTGACCCATGGGGAGTCAACCAAGTCTGTCTCATCACTTGAGACAGGACCAAGGCCCTCCCCACTGTATCTAGGCTGATATCACTTTTAACCTGAATCTTTCTAAGAAATGCTGGGATGTAAGATCACAGGGTTTTAGATGAGAGATTTGTGAAAAGACACCAGATGTATTCATGTTAATTTTTGTTCTTTTATAAATTTTTCATTATAATTATTTAGGCATGTGCATGGCACCTCTCTCTCTCTCTCTCTCTCTCTCTCTCTCTCTCTCTCTCTCTCTCTCTCTCTCTCTCTCTCTCTCTGTGTGTGTGTGTATGTGTGTGTTGTGTGTACCACAGTGCTTCTGTGGAGGTCCGATACAACTGTGGGAGTTAATCTTCTCCTTGTACCATGTGGGTCACAGTCATCAGACTTCGTGGCAAACACCTTTACCCCCTGAGCTGCATTGCTGGCCCCTGTAGCTCTGTCATTCTTCTCCTTAGAAATTCTTTGCCTCCTTATTTTAGCAGAGTACAAGTTCTTGGTGGAGCAAATCCACTTCTACTCATTGTTCCTCTCTACTTCTCTCAGTTTTGCTCTAGTCATCTGTTGAGCCCTTCACACACTGGGTTGGTTGAATTTCTATTCTTTTCTTTTTCTCTCATGAATTTACTCTGGCCACTTTTCCCTTCCTCCAATCTTCCCAGGCAAGCTTGCCCCACTATCTCTCCTCTCCCCAGATCCACTTCTCGAGAGAGAGAGAGAGAGAGAGAGAGAGAGAGAGAGAGAGAGAGAGAGAGAGAGCGCCTCCAGAGGATATCAACAGAGCACAGCATAATAGGTTACAATAAGACTAGGCACAAACACTCACATCTAGACTGGATGAGGCAACCCAGGAGGAGGAAAATTTACCCAAGAGCAGTAAAACTTCTATGATATTCTTCTGGTTTCTCTTTTTAACATGGTCTTAGTTAGATAGTATATATACTTTAAAAACCATTGCCAATTGACCAAGGAAGAACTAAGTCCTCTGAAAGCACTAAGGTTGAGTCTGATGTTTGTTTCTTGCTGAAGAACAGAAATTGAGTAATTTCTGTCTCACTTAGCACAATTCATCATAATGTCCAATGTACTTGCTTGTTTATCTAGAATTTTGACTCATATAATTTATCTTTTTAATTCTGAATTATTTAGTAAAATATTTTGAGGATAGCATAGATGAAATAAATGGTTATTAATGAGGGAATGAGTTTTACAAATTAGGAAATTAAATTTTGGAAGTTACATGTTTTATTTTATGAATTTCATTTTAATTATTCCTTTTTTGAGAATTCAATATAGTTTGATAACTCCCCCCTTCTATTTCTTTCATCTGAATCCTCCCACATCCTTCCTTGGTCCTTTCAAATTCATGACCTCTATTTTCACTAGTTTTTTTCATATACATATGTATAAATGAGGAGCCAAAATGTTTTGTTTTGGAGAACTTGGTTTTAGTTTTTGTCTGTTAGATGGAGAAAGTGTTCATGTAAATATCCTTTTCAGGTGAAGACCAATTCCTTAGAAATTAGTATCAGGCAAAAGTTAATAAGTTATAATTTCTTAGGATATGCAGTCTCTGGGAGGCAAAAGAAAGGAAATGGGGCAGTGAGGTAGGAACTAAAACATCACACATGCTGAGTTGGCCATCGTTTGTAACCAATGACAATGATGGTTCAATTTGGCAGCACTGTTTCTGGACTATTCTCAAGCAAGGCCTGGAGAAAACTAACTGAGATCTATATATCTTTCCAGCCTGAATCATTTGAGAAGACTTATTTGACTGTTTCTAGATGGAATGAAATACCGTCAGTAGGGTTATAGGATATCCTAAATATCAGATTGAATATATGTGTCTGTCCTCCATAAGAATTTTTAGGTAGTGTAGTTGAGTCCTTGCCCAAGGACTCTACCAATTTGGTTTTTCTCTTCCCAAAGTATTTTGGTGGTTTGAATGAAAATGACCCTTATAGGCTCATATATCTGCCTGTTTAACCTCCAGTTGATGAAATGTTTGGAAGGATTAGGAGGTATGGAGGTATGTTCTTCTTGCGGAAGGTGTGCCACTGGGGGTGGGCTTTGAGGTTTTAAAAGCCCTTGCTAATGCCTAGTCTCTCTCTCTCTCTCTCTCTCTCTCTCTCTCTCTCTCTCTCTCTCTCTCTCTCTCTCCTGCTTATAGATTAGGATGTGAAACTCTCATCTTCTGTTCCTGTGTGCCTCTATGCTCCCCACCACGATAGTCATAGACTAACTCTGAAAAGGTAAGCAAACCCCCACCTAAATGCTTTCTTTTATAAGAGCTGCCTTGGTCATGGTGGCTCTTCACAGCAATAGAACAGTGACTGAGACAAGTAAAATCTCATGGCATTGTCAGAAGTTCTCTTCTGTTCATGTGTGATTGAGTCTCACAGCATTATCTACCAACTTCTACTGCTCAGAGATACTGTAGATTATTTCATAGTCAGAAAACAAAAACCACATGTAAAGTGGTGTAAGTGGGCCCTTTTCATTTCTTTGTCAGTGTTCCATGTTTAGGAGTTCTGTACACATTCCGAGGCTTTTCTATTGTATGTGTGGTGGAACTGTTACTGTTTTGTGACTAGCTTTCTTGACATTTACTCTTCTCAACCTTCTTTCTTGTTTCTTCTTTCCTCACCTTTTTAGTTTTATAAATGTTCTTATCTTGTTGTAATTACAAATACTAGATAATGACTAGTCTATGATTTAACATTGAGCAAATTTGCACATTATCACTACAAAGGTAGGTTAGGTCTTACAAATTACATTGAGTCTGATGTGGGATTCCCCTCTGTATGCTTCCTTTTCATTTAGACAGTAAAGGAGAGGTAATGTGGGATTCCCCTCTGTATGCTGTGAATACCATTGGTTAATAAAGAAACTGTTTTGAGTCTATAGAGGGGCAGAACACGGGTAGGTGGGAGAAACTAAACTGAATGCTGGCAGAAAGAAGGCAGAGTCAGGAGAAGCCATGTAGCCTCTCTAGAGTCAGACACCAGATGGAACCCTGCCAGTAAGCCACTTTCATGTGGTGATAAACAGATGAATAGAAATGGGTTAAATTAAGATGTAAGAGCTAGCCAATAAAAAGCTAGAGCTAATTGGCCAAGCAGTGATTTAATTAATACAGTTTTTGAGTGGTTATTTTGGTTCTGAGCTACCAAGCAGCCAGGAACAAACAAGAGGCCTCCTACTACGTGAGTCAGTTGTCATTCTTTAAATGTTCAGGAATGCTGTCTCCTATTCAACCCTATATTAAGTGCTTTGAACTTTGCTGGTTAATGGATAAAGTATTTCACTATATTTCTATTATAATTCTGAACACAGTAGGTCATTCTATGCCAGATATGACTGTTGACCTTCATTGTCAGCTTGACTGGATTTAGGATCACCATGGACATACATCTCTGGATGTGACTCTGAGGGTATTCCCAGAGATGTTTAACTGAAAAGGGAAGAGGTAACCTAGACTGTGGAGGGAACATTCATGGATTTTGTTCCCCGGCTGAACAAAAAGAAGAAGTTGAGCTGAGTACTAGCATTTATCACTCTCTGTTTCCTGATTGTGAAATCAACATGGCCGGTGACTTTATGCTGTTGCTGCTATGCCTTTCCCACCATGGTGGGTTGCACCCACAAAATGTGAACACAGATAAACACACCCTTCACTCTGTAAGCTTCTTCTGTCATGTGCTTTGCAACAGCAATTTGAAAATAAATTACTATACTAGCCAATTCTGCAAATTGTTATTTTCATCTAGTTTTTCATAGTTAATGAGAAGTTTGCAAAATACTTGCTCTTATTGATTTCCATTTCCAAAGACAGGACTTTAATACATTCAACTACTTGAATTTGTGCAAATAACAATCTATAAAGGAATTATAGAAATTTCTTCAGCTTTAAAAATAAATTATTTGGATCATAGAATGATTTGTTATAAAATATTTATTAAGTGTTCAAGAATAAAAGCATTTTTCTTGTTTCTGGCTATTATAATCATGATTACAAAGATCTCTGAAAATTAGGATATTAAAATCAGATTTTGTTTTACCTGTCTTTACTTTGTAACAATTTTATTTCCTGAGCATGTCAAAAGGCTAGATTTTAAGGTAATACTATATTTTTTGTACTTATATGGTAAATACTCTATTTTTTGCACTTTTTATGGTATTCACTATTTATATGGTAAATACTTCATTTTTTACACTTATATGTCAGTTAGACTGCTCCTACTCTAACATGTAAAATAAAATCCCTGTTCTGTGCAGTGTGCAGAAAGTACAAAGCCTTTGCTCTTACCTCTCCTCTCCTCTCCTGTCCTCTTTCTACTGATACATACTCATTCTTATGTTCATTATGACTGTAACTCCATATGATGCTTATGTTCTCACACAGTTCTTTCTTAGGCTTGTCTGGGGACCTGGATACACAACACAGAACGTGAGAATCAATAAGAAACACAGGCTATGGCAAGCAAACAAAGAGGAGATGTTCCTACAAATTTTGGAAAAGCTATGAGAAATTACATGAAATGTTACAAGACACATTCAGACTAGGTTCTCTAGAAGAGATCAGGTGATGACAGCCTTCTGTTTGCAGCTTTGATTCCTCATTGTCACACTGGAAGGTCAAGTTCCAGGGCTGAGCACATGGATATTTCTGGACACCTATTTTTTTCCTGAAACCATAGAAGTGGATTGTATCACTTTATGAGGAATCTAGGATTGACTGGAGAATTATACCACATTAGAATGTGCAGGTATTGATTGGTAATAAATGCTTAAATTTTACTGAATGTCTTATTGTAGCATTGTATTTTCTCTGTTAGTTTCTAAGGAATTGAATTAAATCATTATCTTTCTTTAATATTAAACAATGGCTACATTATTGAAACAAATGAATACTATTTTTGATACAATATTCTTTTACTTCTGTTTTAGTATCTGAGTCACCACTTATCTTTAGAAAATAATTAAATAATTTATATGTATAGGCAGTGTTACTCTAGCACAGTCTTAAACCATCTTTATTGGGTATTAGAAGAACTTATAAACACAATTTAATAACCACACGCATTTTTATACTGGCATCTTGATAGAGCAAAAAATGCACATCCTTTGGAAGGAGAAAAAAATACGTTGTGAGTTCATGATGTATTTCACTTCTTAGGATGCTTTAAATTTTAGTGTGTGTATTTTTAAATTCCTATAATTCCATCATGATCCAGTTGTCATGGTACCCTGGCCTTGATTTATGGATGCCAGATGTTTCCACTCTAGTGGGAACACTACCATTCTCCATACGATGTTGCATTAACCCTGTGACATTAGAAAACCATCACTCATTGCCTTTGTTTCAACTTCCTTTCAAGATATTGAGTGTCCCCCGGTGTCACATGATTTGACAGCAGTGCCAGTTTTTAGAATGGATGGTACAGGCTTGTGTACCTTTACTGTTGATGATGACTTCCTCAATAAAGCTTCTGAATGAACATTTATATTAAGGGTTGTATCTACAGTCAGTGTGTTTGGCTTCCTTTATCTACTATAAAATAAATTTGACTTGTTCTGGGAGTACATTTGGGCTGCACCAATGTTTTGTGTTTTTGTTGTTGTTTCTCATTGTTTCTTTTGTTTCTTTTGACCAGGGGAAGCATGGTTGCTGATGCTTTCAGAATCTTTCTCTTTTTGGCTGTGGTAGAATTGTTAAAGCTCTTCGACTTGTTCCCTCAGGTCCCAGGTGTCCCATCAATCCTTGATGGGGGACATTAGGAGTGTCTGTTTCTGGGCTGAATCTTGGCAGGGAAAGCTTCTCTGTAGAAATTAAAGTTTAGGATGTTTCATTCCTTTGCTGAGTCACTTTATACTTATGTATCTTGAGGCTGATTGTTAGCTGGGAAATTATTCATGCCTTTTCTCAGTTCCAAGACTAATAATCAAAGTCTGCCCTGGAAAATTCTCACTGTTCTTAGATAAAACTGAATTTAATCATAGAACAAATGCCGCTGTCAGCTGCCTTGTGTGTCTAGGAATGTGACTGTTCTTGAGATAATGCAAAATCCAACCAGAACTGTAATTCTCTCTTCCAATCCATGGACATATACATATGCATGTCTATATATGCATATGTATTAATATAGTACCTGTTCTTTGGGAAAGAGTGGTTCCTCATTAGGTTCTGGAAGGAGTGATGTCTACTGATAAGTACCATGAAGACATTCTTTAGTTTCCCGTGATTTCCTGCCATATATCATTTTTTGTTAGTATTTCTTCTCTCATTTTTAATCTACAAAATGTTTTTAGTGATTAGAGCAGTATTTTAGAAAGTAGAGTGTAGTTAGATCAATTTTATTTCCTCACAAATTATAACTTGAAATTACGTTCATTTTGCAATCACTTTATATTTTTTATGTTTTTTTTCCTTTCAGTGTTTTCTTTATATGAAATTTGTATGAGCTATTGATGGCCCTAATTCATTTTTCCTCTTTTAATATAAATTCTAAGTTTAAGCCTTTGATGGATAGTAATTTATTCTTGTTTAAGTGACAACACTCTATTTTGTCACGAAATTATTTTTCAACTTCCAGAAATTTAGTTATCTGAAAAGATGTAAGTGAATTTTATATGTCTTGAATTGAGTATTTCTAAATTGTAAGGTTATAAACCTAGAATATAATTATCCTGAAAATGAATGCAGATGTATTTTATTATTCTAAAAGGTCTACTTCAAGCTTGTGTCTATCAGATAAAACTTTGCTCCAGTCTCTACATTCAGGCATTACATCTTGTGGATGTGGCCACATGAAGTTAAAAAAAAAAAAAAAACATTAAGTCATTTGTCAGACACATAGTGAGACTACAGCAGAACCAAAACGGTCTTTTTAATGCTGTTAACACAGAACGAGCTCTCTAAATTTAGGAGAGAAGGAAATGTAGTCAGCAAATAACTTACCAATCATTTCATCTGTGGTACATTGCCAACATAGTCAGGAGAGAGGTGCAGCCGTAAGTAAGGCACGATTCTACAAGGTTTGCAATTATCTGGTTGAGGTAAGAGGCAATGAGGCTTCACAATTATCTACATCACTGAGCTCATTGACAGACAATAATCATTAGAAACAAGGAAAACAGGACTAGAAAGAGGCACAGTAAGCCCAGGCATATGTTGTCAGGACAGCATTTTTATGATGTTGTAGAACAGGACTTGGCTGGGGTGGTTACTAATGAAAGCTTCCTGGAACAACCCAGAGGATTTGCTCTCCCCAGAAAGCGTTGACTTGTGTCCCAGTGGACGCCGTGGAGATCCTGATGGCTGCTTGGCTCCAGGTTTTGTTTGAGGCATCTGGCAGCGATCCTACTTGTTTCTGTGTTTCTGTGACCCCTGGATGCCCTGCCCACCCCTGTGACCTAGGTCGTTACTAGGAACTGAACCTGCTGCTCTCTTTCTCTTTCCAGGACTGACTGTGCAAATTCCTCGTCTAAATTCTGCAGCGCCGGCAGTAAGCTCCAGCAGGCACATATGTAGGCAGAGCAAATGCAGGGTTATGTAACTGCCCGAACAGCTTGTGCCAGATTCAGCTCAGGCAGAAGCGTTCATTTGATACAAACCAGGTATATGAATCTTTTGAGTTCATACATTTTGACTCAATGTGCAATAAAATAAAGACCCCCTCATTTCTGTTTTCTTAAGCATGTGACTTAATACTTGTACAGTCTTTGTATGAAATAAAATACATAACATATCATATAATCCATAACTCAGAGATCGGCTGTCTAAAAGTTAAATGAAAATATGGAGAACCTGACGTGGAGTGTTTCTGGATACAGCACCACAGTCGGAAGTTAGGTAGGAGTAAAAGCACAAATCTGCCTGTTGTGTTTGAATTCTTCCCAGTCACAGTTTTGGAAATCCCAGTGGACCCAATTAGCTCTTTCTCCAGGCCCCTGGGTTTAAATTAGGTCTCTTCTTTTTTTGTCTTTCCTCACTCTTCTTTCTTTCTTTCTTTCTTTCTTTCTTTCTTTCTTTCTTTCTTTCTTTCTTTCTTTCTTTCTTTCTTTCTTTCTTTCTTTCTTTCTCCCTGTCTCTCTGTCCTTCCTGCATTTCAAGTTGAATATATACACTGTGGACCGCAGCTTAAAAGAACCTCCATTTCCCAAAGAAATGAATTGGAATTAGTGTTCTTCAAGTAGTGTTTGCCTATGTGGTGATTTGAACGAGGAACGCTCCCATCAGCTGGGATATTTGACTTATCGGTTCTCAGCGGGAGGCGCTCCTTAGAGGGCTTTGTGTTGCTCAGCAAAGGTGAAGGAAGTACATCGCTGGTGGCACATTTGGGGATGCTATAGCCTCTCCTGGCTTCAAGTTTGCTTTTTCTGCCTTGTGGTTCCATCTGAAGATGTTAGCTCTCAACTTCCTGCTCCTGCTGGCCATGCTTGCTGATTATTGCTGTTTCCTCACCAGGATGAATTCTCATCATAATAAATTCATCTCTCTGGAACAGTAAGCCAAAATAAACTCCTTTCATAAGCTGCTTTTGGTTATGGAGTTTTATCCCAACAACAGAAAAGTAACTAATACAGCCTACATTTCATTATGTGGCCCAGGCTGGCTTTGAACTCGTGATCGTACTGCCTCTGCCTCCCTAAGAATTTACCACCTTTACCAGTCTTTGCTGCTTTCTTCTTAAAAACCACTAGAGATGCTTTGTAGAGAAATCTCTGCTCTTTAAGTGAAGCCGGTTACCTAATTACAGAGTTGATTGGCTGTTGGAAACAAAGCGCAAAGATCGTGAAGACTTTAAGCTTTATGGAATTTTTATTTTGTTCTACTTTTTTGAGACAGAGTTTCTCTGTGTTATCCCGGCTGTCATGGAACTCACTTTGTAGACCAGGCTGCCCTTGAACTTGTAGAGATCTGCTTGCCTTTACCTCCTGAATGCTGGGATTAAAGATGTGTGCCACCATTCCTGTCCAGCTGCTTTATGAAAGTTTAGTTGTTCTTTCTATGTGTCCCTTCCTAAACATGTGTTTCCAAGGTGTGGAGTGATGTTTTGCTATGTTTGTAAGCATTAGTCTAAGAATTGATGATGTTGGATAACTTCTAATGCTTTTACTTTTTGCCATTTTTTTTTCCATGATCAGGGTTGATAAAATCATTTGCCAAACTTTCATCTGGCCACCCTACTATTACTAGTTTCTAAGATTTCTTTACAAAATTTGGGGACACAATCAAATGCATGGTTTGAAAACATTAAGTTTGAGTTGTATTTTACCTCCTTTTATTTAAAGGGTATTTTAAAAGTCAAAGCTTTCAGTTTTGATATATCCTAATTACAGTATATGTAAAATGGTCCTCCTACTGTTTAAAAATAAACATCTCATCATCAAATACCTTTTCTCACTTCTCTTCTAGGCATTGTGCAGTCTGAAATGCTAGAACTGGTTTTGTGAACCATTTCAATTACCACAGAAAATAATTTAGCATTTTTTTCTGATAATCCAATAATATATCTCTATCATATGATTGAACAATATCTCTTATAGATATAACTACTGCTCAAAACTTGCAGAGGAGCCTACAGACGAACACTTTATATCAGGATAGGCAAGAATTTTCTGTT